TTTTAATATTTATTTTTTAGTTTTCGGCGGACACAACATCTTTGTTTGTATGTGGTGCTGAGGATCGAACCCAGGCCGCACACATGCCAGGCAAGCACGCTACCACTTGAGCCACATCCCCAGCCCCAGCTTCTACAATTTCTAGAATATCCAATTGGGTCCCTTGAGGTATTTCCACTCTTAGAATTCTGACACACTCAAGTTTCTGACAACTGTGACAGTTGACCAGCCCCATAATATTCACTTCCCCCACCCCAGACCCCACTTACAAACTTTCCTGGGCAGGAATTCTACCTCAGCATGCCAAAGCTAAGAGCTATGTGTGTGGACTTTGTTGACATCACAGCCTAGTGAATAGGAATATGTAGTGTTTGGGGAACTAACTTCCAGTGGACATTTCCTCTAAGAATTCCCAGAAACACTTGAATTCCTATTATGCTCTGCCATGTCCCACAGAGCACAGAAGATGGGTGTGACCCGTCAAGATGCCAATCAACCTGCTGACTGCAAGACTTCATGAAGCAAGACTCTGCCCTTGAAACCTTATCCCTGACTTTGATGCACCCCCTTAAATAAACCACTGGAGCCATCTTCTTTTATCTAGCTCCAGCAACTCTGCGGACTACATGAAGTCAGATGTCATTATATGATAAAGAAAAATATTTTATATCTTGGGTAAAAACTATCAAGGAGTCTTGGAAATAAAGGAGATGCTATGCCACAAAAACTCTCACCAAAATGGAAAAGGGTTCCAAGTTCTAACTAAACCAGTGACTAATATGTGCCTCTGATTTTAGCAATCATTACTAAGTCCCACAATTTCCTTCTCAAAGGAGCAATAGTGTGTGTTTGTGTGTGTATTCAATGTCCTCTAGTAACCTGGTCCTCTATTTGTTAATCATTTAGTAGGGCTACCTTTCACCTTAGACTTACAAATAAGCACAATCTAAGAGTTCCCAATTTTCCTTTGAACTCCCAGACTTTCTCAAGCCTTAACTATCTTTAACAAAACATGAAGTTTCTCATTCTATGACAAAGCAGGGAGGGGACAACATTTAACTGCATATGGCCCAGGAAGAATAAACTCTCAGAGATTTTTATCCATTTTAAATAATGTGAAAACACTTAGAAAACTTAATACTTGATATAATCAATTTGCTAATCAAGAATAACAGATTCCTTTTTTGTTTTGCAATGGCAGGATGCAAGCATAAAAGTATGAAATTTTTGTTTGGATCACACAATGTAGTTTACAAAATTATATCTATAGATATATATATCTATAGATTGTATATATATATATAGATATAGATATATATCACATTTAAATTTCCATAGCTGTAGTCTTAATTTTAAGATATATTCAGCTACATATAAAATGTTTCTCTGAAAGACAATTTGGTAAATATATAGCCCTTCAACCATACAATGTACATAGTCCTGTTTCACAGGATTTTTTTTTTGATGTACAGCTCTGATACTCCTGAATTCAAAAATTTTACTATAAAATTCAATCTCTCAACTAAATAACCAATATATCCTCCCAGAATGACATGGTCCATGTTTGTGTTTTTCATAAAAGCTCAAAGAAATTAAGTTTTATGTGCAGTAGTGCTTAAAAAGAAACGCTGATGGCACACTATGATAAAACATATTGCAATTCCATCAAAATGTAAAGGACCCAACGTTGTGTGAAAATACTAAGACATTATCATTGGCTATAGACCAGAACCCATAAGATATATATACATCCAAATATATATATATATGTATGTATGTATATGTAAAACTTTCTAAGGTCTAGGGAGGTCTGCATGGCTAGATTTTGATGAGCACAATTAGTGAATGATGTTATGTCCTAGATTTTCCTCAAATTTTAATCACACAAAACACCATTGGTTCACAAAAACTCATTTAATTTGATGCCACAATTTGTGTTGTTTTCAATCACTATATTTTAGAGCTCCACTGTATTTTAGTTCTAGATTCTAATCAGCAAATATCTGTAACTATAATATTCAAGCTATAAACATAGTTTTGTTTTGCAATGGAAGGATGAAAGCAGGAGAAAGTATGAAATTTTGTTTGGATCACACAAGGTAGTTTACAAAATTATATCTATACATCACATTTAATTTTTCATAGCTGTAGTTTATAGCTTAAACAGTTAAATAAAACAAAACAGGCTGAGGATGAAGCTCAGTGATAAGGTGTCCTTAGGTTCAATCTCTGGTACCATTAAAAAAAGAGAGAGAACATTAAGGATCTAGGGGAAGATCAATACCTTTTTTTCCTCCTCTATGTCTGCCCTTCTTCCGATCCATATATCCAACCCCATGCTTAGGGGGTGGGGTAGGGAGAACAATCAATAATTTCTTTACCCCTAGAGGAGGTTATAGGGCTTCCTCTCTGAAAAAAGAGAAGTCTTATCTAAAATAAGGAAGTAGAGAAGGTGCTTTAAGAAAAAAAACTGAAAGGATAGGTAAATATATTTAAAATTTAGTACTCCAAAGGGAAGGAAAGTAGAATGAGTTGGAAGGGAAGGTACTTGGGGGAAAGCTAAGGAAAAGAAAGCATAACACATTAAGGGAATAACTTTGTAAGGAAAGGAGATGACTAGGTAGGTTTTCCTTTTTATAGGTGACCAAGTTTCTTAGGATGAAAAGCATAGCTGGAACTGACAAATTACACTCAACTTTGGTATCAAATTAGCTGAATTATCAGTAGTTCAAAGGATTGTAAGAAATATCTATAAAGTTTTATGCAGCTCAGTGGAAGAGTATGTGTCTACATGTATGAGGCTTTGTATTCAATCACCAGATCCCAAACCAAAAAATAACAAAATACCCCAAATATAGATAGGCTCTAACATTGCACTTCCATTTTTAAAACATGAGCTTAAATCTATTTCATTTGGCAGCTAGCTATCTCTAAGTTTAAGGTTAATGTTTAGTGAGTACCTGGAGACTTAAAGGGAATATGGAGGACATGGAGAATATAAAATAACTGTTATTGGTAGCAGTAGTAAGGGTATTAAGTCAATTTCTTTCTTAGCCATCCATCATCTACTAAATATCAAGCTACTGCAGACTGATATTATAATCAAAATCATCAATGTCATTCAATTCAATATAGATAATTCTCTTAATATATACTGAAGTTTGTAGAAATACCTTTTGATATCTAAAGTAGTATAACAAAGTGGACAAGATATAGCTAAAGCTGAATTTGAGTCCCTGCTCTGTCAATAACTGAATTTAAGCAGATGTCTCAGTAAATTATTTTGTTTTGTTTTTACGGTACTGGGGATTTAACCCAGGGGCACTTTTTACCACTGAACCATATGCCCAGTCTTTTTTTTTTTTTTTTTTTTTTAAAGAGAGAATTTTCTTTTTAATATCTTTTTTAGTTTTACTGGCAGACACAACATCTTTGTTTGCATGTGGTACTGAGGATCGAGAGCCTCGAGCGAACCCGGGCCTGAGGATCTAACCTGGGCCGGACGCATGCCAGGCGAGCACGCTTCCGCTTGAGCCACATCCCCAACCCAAGCCCAGTCTTTTTTATTTTGAGATGGGTCTCACTACGTTGCTGAGGTTGCCCTTGACCTTGCACCCTCCTGTCTCCCAAGTCACTAGGATCACAGACTCCACAGCACCCAGCTTCAGGAAGCTTTTTAAACTTTATTTGCTCATCTAACATTAGAAGACTAGTTTGAGAGTCAAACAAAAGACTTAATACTTGCAGAGAACCTGTCACAAATTTCAACAAAAAATATCAGACTCAGACTGAAGAACCCTGGATCACATAGTTTCACAGTTTCATGTTTCCAACTTCTCATATGTCCAACTAATGTGTCATAAGCATATCCTTTTCAAATCAGTTCCAGGCTTCAACCTGTTTCTCCACACAAATAGAAATGAGCTGCCTTTAAGTCCCAGTGTTGATCATCAAAAACTTTACTACCTCAGGTTTGCAGGTGTACATATATATGCCTTAGCCCACAAGCCTACCATCTAGAAGCAATTATATAATTTGGTTTCTTTCTGGTAAAATTGCAAGACTGACTTCCATTACTGAAATATGACTAAGAGGACGGTCTGAAAGTTTAGTAGCCAGTGGTTTATGTTTTAGCAGATCTCAGTAATTTCACTAACAACCTAAAAAGATGATTTTATTCTTTTTACAACTTCTTAACTTTCCTGTTTTCATCTTATTTTTTAGCAGCACTGGGGATTGAACCGGGGGTGCTCTACCGCTGAGCTACAACCTAAGTCCTTTTAATTTCACTGTGAGACAAAGTACTGCTACATTGCTTAGGCTTGCCTCAAATTTGCAATCTTTCTGCCTCAGCTTTCTGAGTCTGAGATTATAGGCACATACAACTGTGCCCAGCCTTCACCTTGTATTTTTTTTTAAATTTTAAATTGTAATTAACATATAGGAACTAAAAGACACAGAAACCAAACAGCCATGCTTTCTCTCAAAAATATGTATTACTAGAAACTCAGGGCAGTAAGCAAATGAATAAATGATGGCTTATAAAAATACTTTATATGCTTTCACTTTCACACATTTTTTATCTTCTACTTTCCTAACAAAACTTGGCTTATTAGAACAAGTGATTAAGACTAAGATTGCAAAACCAGACTGGTAAATTGTTAAAAAATTTTAAAATATTTCAAGAGAAGCCAAACATTTTTCAGAAAAAAATGGCTGAAAGTTATTTTGAAGAAGTCCTCTAAGAAGAATATTTATTCCCACGTACAACAGAAAATAAGAAGATGATAATAAGAAATGTCTTAAGCCTTCCTAGAAACAACCAAGAATGTATCTGTGACTTTCAGCCCTGTGTAGGGAAAGGGTAAATATATAAGAACCTGGAAGAAAGCTTTGAAGTGAGCATCCTCTTGAACGGTAGTGTTCTGATCACTTGGGAGGAGAGGGAACAGGCTCTGAAGTCTCACCCTTTCACAAATCACCTTGTTAGGATGGCCAGGTAGAGGTGCTGAATTGGCCCCGGGAGATATCTGGGAAAAAGAGGGAGAAGAAAAGGATAGTTCATGGCTAGCTGCACCAACATGGAGAATCAAGCCTATGAAGGACAGTGGATTTTCTAGTATTTGATGATTCTGTTAGCAGAGACAGAAAAAAATTTTGAAAATTTTTAAACATCAAAACATAAGGATGGCAAAGGTTGCCTCTGTCAATGGATCTCTTTATAAAAATTTTGAGGCAAAAGAGCCATGGCTCAAGAACACCAAATCCTTCTTGTTTCCTAAATACCTATGGGTACACCTTTTCTATTGATGTTAATTCTGAAATCCCTAAAGGTTAGATTTCATGTTAAGAAAATTTGAGGTGGTATTACATATCTTAAGTATAGAATGCCTAGACTAACAATGTGTGTGCCTAGACTAACAATTTTTTCCCCTCATTCTACTTTTAGTTAACCTTCCAAATGATCACACATAGGATTCTTGACAATATTCGTGGTAAAACTTCTATAGCTATCTTACATATGACTGTATACCATACGATATATAGCAACCTTGTTTAACTGGTAATCTTTGTTCTCTCAATATAAGCCTAGAGATTTTCTTAAGGAATAAAGAATAAGATCATAAGCCCCAAAGTAAATACACTTCTTTTTAAATGCTTGTGGTGGTACACACCTGTAAACCCAGCTACTTGGGAGGCTGAGGCAGTAGGTTTGCAAGTTTGAGGTCAGACCAGGCAAGTTAGTGAGACTCTATCAAAATAAATGAATGAATAAATTAAAAAAAAAAAACAAAACTAGAGGTTAACTCTGGAAAGTGTCCCTGGTTTTAATCTCCTCATATTTAAATGTGTTTATAGTGTCATAAAAATCATGCCCACTGCTAGGCATAAGTGCTTGTAATCCCAGTGGCTTGGGAGGCTGAGGCAGGAGGATTGTGAGTTCAAAACCAGCCTCAGCAAAAGCAAGGTGCTAAGCAACTCAGTGAGACCCTGTCTCTAAAAAAAAAAAAAAAATAGGGCTGGGGATGTGGCTCAGTAGTTGAGTGGCTCTGAGTTCAATCCCCAGTACCAAAAAAATAAAAATAAAAAATCATGCACACAACCTGTTCTACTCTACAGTGAGGGTGAAATTCTTCTTGGTAGTTGAGGTTTATGTATTTGTTTCCACACTAAATATCACATAGTTTAACACTGTCTTGTGTTTTAGAGTTTCATTGCCTCATTTATTCATATTTATTGAAGTGTCTATTTGACAGGCACTAGACCAGAAAGAAAGGCATGGTTTCCTACCACTGAGAAGTATGTTACAAAAGGGTGGGGATACAGCTCAGTGGTAGAGCACTTGTCCAGTATGAGCAAGGCCCTGGATTTAATCCCTTGTACTGCAAAATAAAAAGAAAACAAAAGTAAATCACTACATAGTGTAAGTACCTTAATAATTGTACATGTTATAAACTAGGACAATTGGCAAAAGACCATAGCATAGTCAGGAAATTGCAAAATGTTCAGTATGGCTGGAGAAGGAAAGCAGTAGAATGTTCATTATATTAATACCCTTGCTGTAATAACTTTCCTTAGTTCTTTTATAACCTTTTTTCTTGCTTGCCATGAGCCTGGTAAACATAACCATGCCCACTAATAAGAGTAAAAATACTTTAAAATACCCTCCTAGGAATAAATGCAAATCACAAGGGCAAGTATTTTAGAATTTATTAATTTGCGACACAAAATTTTTGGACATGAGCTTAAGTTTACCTCTGTACTACAAACATGAATATGTTAATATTCTTTAACACTATAAAGTATATATCACTGAATCAAGGAATATTTTCTGATTCCCTCTCACGAGCTAAGTGTTCTAAGAAAGGTATAAAGATAAAACATGAATCCTACCCTTCAGAGTAAGCTTTATTCTAATTAAGAAACGAAACAGATGCAAGCAGTCAACTATAGTATAATATTTAAATGAGGCAAATATAGAACACAGGTAGAAGCCCCAGCTGATCCGAGGGTAAGAGTAGTAAGAAAAGATTTCCTAGAAAGAGGTGGTATTTTCAAAATTCCTGGCTCCTCGCTCAATCTAAGGAATGCTTTTATCATCTTAAAGCACTTTTCTCTGAAAATGTTTCTCTGTAATCCTCTGATACTTTTAATTTTTTATGGTAAATAACTTTTGTAGTGTACTTAAATAAGGTTATTTGCCTTCAACAATCAAGTCAAAGAGTCTTACAAAATGCTAGTGCTAGTAGTTGTTTGGGAAAAAAAATCAGGGGTCAGGTTTCCTCTCTTCCATTCTTTGCTCCTCTAAAAATTTAAGATTTTGGTCACATATAAACAAAAAATACATCACAACAACAACAACAATAAAACAAACTAGGCCCCTGTGGCCTTAATATTTTCAAGCATATTCTATCTTACTCAAAACAGCCTCCTTTGGTCAGAAGCTCCAACTGTCTACAAAAAGGGAGGACTAAAATACAGTGGAAGAAAGCTACATTCAAATCATGTAGTTAAAATAAGTATAGGACAAAACCATAGATAAGCTTGATCAAGCTCCCCACCTCCACCAGATAAAATGACATACAAAACATTTTGGGTATATATATGTTAGGCAAAATATTATATAAGGTGCCCCCCAAGATTTCCACTTCAGGTACAACCCTTCGATCTTATTTATGGATAAGACTGTAAATAAGACAGATTTCATATGCCAATATCAGTCAATTTTAAGTTGATCAAGAAGGAGATATCCTGGGTGGGCCCAAATTCATCAGAGAAAGTTCTTGAAGAAAAGGAACTGAGCCATTCTTGAATCTGAAGAGGATCTCCTACTAACCCTTCAAACCAAGCTACTACACTGTGCAAAGGGATACAAAGGAGGCAATATGGTAGGGACCTGACAGCAGTGTCTAGGAGCTGGAACACTTACTAGAGCAGGGGGCCCAGCAGACAACTCATACAAAGACTCCTGATATATGAAAATTGTAATATTATAGATTTTATGTTTTATAACAGATTTGTGGTAATCTGTAATAAATCACATAAAATTAACATGTATATAAAACTAGGATAAAATTTTTTCCTCTAAACTCAAGGGAAGTTTCTCCAGAATTTAATTATGAAAGAATAAAGGTATTTTAAATTTAAGCATACAGGAGTTTTTAAAACTTCAATTTGGCTGGCATGCCTGTAACCCCAACAATTTGGGAGGTAGAGGCAAGTTCAAGACCACCCTGAGTAACTCAGTGAGACCTTATCTTAAATACAAAGGGATGAGATGTGGCTCAGTGGTAGAGAACTTCTAGGTTCCATTCCCAGTACCAGAAAAACAAATCAAATCTCAATCTGGTAACGGCTAACTTCACGCCAGGAACTGAACTGGGCTAATATTTATGCACTACATATTAGGTTTGATCAACTTGCTTAAAGCCACATACCTCAAAAACAGCAAAATTACATAATCTGAACCCAAGTCCATCAGACACTAAGGTTCATACTCAATGTACTAAACTATCTTTTAGTTTAATCTTTAAAAGAAACATTCTTCTTTATAATTTTCTTTGGTTAGTAACAATTATTCCACAAAGCCTACTTAAAAATAATTAGTATGTTTCCTTATAAATTGTTTTAGATAACTTTTCACTGATTCTTCCTCAGTTAAACTTGTAAGGTTAAGATGGGAGCAGTGGCACACTGTAATCCTAGCATTTTGGGAGGCTGAGGCAGGAAGACCTCAAATTCAATGTTAATCAACTTAGTGAGACCCTTTCTCTAAATAAAATACAAAACAGGACTGGGGATGTGGCTCAGTGATCAAGTGCCTCTGAATTAAATCCTTGGCACCCCCCTCCCTAAATACATACATACATACATATTGTTAAAGTATACCTGAAAATTGATATGAGTATTTTTTTCTAGCCTGGAAACTATTGAGCATTACAAAGATTTGGTTAACTTTAGGGAATATGAAGAACATGGAGAGTATAAAATAACTGTTCAACCTATTCTCAGGATGCAACCTGTACTTGCAAAAGCCCAGCCATGGAAATATCCCTGAGACAGGATTAAGTCTAACTCCTAGATCTTGTTTTTGATGTTTACTTACATATAACCCTATGAGTAATTACCCCCACATAATGGGCGGGGGGAACCTCACAGTTTCACAAGACTGTTTACAAAAAACAGTTTAACCTTTTAAGCCCCAATACTTGTTATTTTCAGAACAACTTTTAATGTTGCCTTTCTGTTTTGGTAGTCATATATAACCAACAATTTGGAGAGTTTGACAATTATTATCAGTTAATGTGCTAAAAATTACAGAATTTAGGAGACATTGTCCAGAATATATTCCTTCTAAAACTGCTTCTGATAACAGCTTTCTTCTTCATTCATTTGCATTTTCCCAAAAAAGGTGAGGCACAGGATTTGTAAGTACGTGACCCCTAGGGCAGCACTAAAATAATGCACTTTCTACAGAACAAGGTGCTCAAAGGCTTAAATAAACTGCCTTCTCCAAACTGGCCATAATACTCCACAGAAGGGAAAAAAAAATTGTTCACCGTTACTAGCAGCATATGGACTGGTCAAAAGCACTCAATCAAAACCGAATACAAAACAGAAAAAACATCAGATGAAGAGGAGTCAAGGACTTAGTGTTGCCTCTAGCCAGTCCTTAATCCTCTAGGTCCAAGTCTTGGCATCGACACAATGAAGTCAAATCCAACTTGTCTTAAGATTCCAAATATTCTCATGTTTCCATGAGAGCAAATGTTAAACTCTTGGGAAGCAATTTGGCAGATTTTATGAACAATTTGAAAAGCATACCTATAATCTGCATCTGCAATCTTTAATCTGATAAATTCTGTTATGCTCCAAAATAAGGAAAAAGCAACATGAACAAATGTGTTCATCATCATAACACAATACCAACAATAATTTAAAAGTAACTTAATGGGTTTTTTTGTTTGTTTTGGTACTGGGGATTAAACCCAGGGGAACTTAGCTACTGAGCCATATCACCAGCTCTTCTCAATTTTTACTTTGAGACAGGATCTTGCCTGCTAAATTGCTCAGGTTCTTCCTAAATTGCTGAGGCTGGCTTTGAACTTGTGATCCCCATCTCAGCTCCCCAGCCACTGGGATTACAGGCATGCACCACTGTACCCCAAAAGCTTAATGTTTAGTAAGTAATTGCTAAGAAAAATTATAGTGCACCAGTTTGGTGAACTATTACATAGCCATTAAAAATAGCAATAAAAATGCATATGCTATTAACTAAGAGAGGAACAAAATCATGTAAATGTTATTATTAAAATTGGGGTTAAGGAGCTGGAGTTGTGGCTCAGCAATAGAGGCTTGCCTGGCATGTGTGAATCACTGGGCTCGATCCTCAGTGCCACATAAAATTTTTTTTCACAAATATATATATAAATAAATATATTTTTTTAAAAATTGGGGTTCCTGGAATCTCATAAATTTTGGATAAAAATTTAGAAGATTATGAAGAAAAACCAAGAATTCACTCGAAAGGGTAGGGATGAGGGTGTGATGAGCACTTGCCTAGCATGTAGGAGACACTGAGTTGATTCTCAGCACTGCAAATAAATAAATTAATAAAAACTAAAAAAAGCACACCAAATCTCCATGTCATATTCAGCATGTCACTTTCACCTAAAAGAGTACGTTAAAACAGGAACTCAACTACTGAAAGAATAATCTTCCAAAGTAACCAAACGATAGCATAGCCTGCCTTTTTTTAAATTTTTTTTTTTTTTTTTAATGAATCTGGTTAGAATAAGACAAAGCAAAAAGTTTTGACCAGGACAGGGGAAAAAAAATCACCTGCAGATCACCACTTAAGTCAGTGATTATGCTGGAGAAAGTGAGTGCCTAGGATGCACAAGACCCAGGCCTGGGTTTAATCTCCAACACCACAAAACAAAAAATAACAAAAGCCAGTTGTTGTCCACAAGTCCACCTCAAAATTGAGACAGGATAAATCACTGAGATATTCATTTGTACTGTGCCTGTTGCTGGGATATTCCCCCCACCACCACCATTCTGAGAAAGAATTTAGACCTCTCTGTTGCTTTGAGTACAGTTGTATCACTGGGCCTAAAGCAAAAGTTTCTTTAGCTTTCACTTTTTGGAAGCATAATTTTCCAAGAGGATTTTGCTAGTGGAGCAGGGGAAAGGACACTGGAGCCAGCAATGTGTGCCTCCTCAAGCCATGCAAAAGATTGGTTTGGATGGGTACAGGAATTTTGAGAGGATGATAAAAATATTCTAAAACTGGACTGTGTTGATGGCTGCACAACTCTATAAAATTTAACAAAAGTCAATGAAATAAGTGGGGCACTGGCTCAGACAGGAGAATCCCAAGTTCAAAGCCAACCTCAGCAACCAAGGGAGGTCCTAAGCAACTTGGCAAGATCCCATCTCAAAATAAAAAATAAAAAGCGGAGGCTGGGGTTGTGGCTCAGTGGAAGGGCACTCACCTAGCATGCGTGAGGCACTGGGTTCGATCCTCAGCACCACATAAAAACAAAATAACGTGTCTGCCTGAAACTGAAGATAAATAAATGTTTAAGAAAAATAAATAAAAAGGGCTGGGACTATAGCTTGGTGGTAAAGCATCCTGAATTCAATTCCCAGTAGCTCCACTCCTATCAATCAATCGATTACTGAGTGGATTTTATGGTCTATAATTTTACCACTCAATATTAAGCTGCTTTTAAAAAGACATCAAATTTATGGATGTTTATGATTTTTTAAAAAAGAAAGAAAAAAAAACCAAGACTCTAATTCTGGAAAGCTGAGGTCCAAAGATCAAGGACGCTTCAGCAGCTTTGTGAGTCGCTGTCTCAAATAAAAAGCAAAAAGGTCTAGGAATGTGGCTGTTATTTTTCCTACAAACACACATAAATACAAATGGCACACAATTGAAATGGTAAAAGAAATAAAATCATTCTATTACTTTTATTCAACTGTCAAAAGTTCTCTGAAAATCATTTTTGAAAAGCTAATAGGCACTACTAGGGGAAAACCATTAAAAAAACTTGTACTATCTACCTCAGGGATGATCATTACTCACTACTGCCCAATACTGGCAATTCTTTCTAAAAATAAACTATTATTCCCATTTTTGAGTTAAAGGAAACTAAATGGATCTATGTCTTTCTGGGAGCACGGCAAAACCAAGATGAATGAAAAGAGCCAAGTACTCCACCTCCTTGCACTTCCTTTCCCTAGTCCAGAGTTCCATAAAATAATGGGAGGGGAGATATTTGCAAGTTTGGAAAACAATGAGACTATATACATGATCCCTCTTCTTGTTTACTCCAAATTTCTTTCTCATTAATTTACTACAGAGTTCACGCATTTGCTTTATATCCTCTAGATTAACAGTGCCTTCTTAGGTATTTAACATTTCCTAATGAATAAACTAGAACAGAACTACAAATGGATGTTTACAATCTGACTGCTCTTAACCAATAGTTCACTTTTTCTCTGCTTAAGTACAATGGAACAGAAATGAAAACTGTTGTCATTTGATATGTGAATTTAGCAGGAAACCAGAAAATCAGTAAAATAACCCAGACACCATGGCACAATAAAAACTGATACAGAATTATCTTCCCAGCAAGATGAATTACAAAATGGGAGTGCCTAAACCAAACTAGGGGCAGCATGAAACAAAGAGAAATAGATGAAACAACCTAGTAGATAGATAATCTTTATAATCTTTTTTTTTTCTTTGTACTGGTGATTGAACCCAGGAGTGTTTAACCACTAAGCAACATCCCCAGCCCTTTTTATTTTGAGAGTGTCTTGCTTAAGTTGCTAAGGGCTTCAATAAGTGGCCTAGGCTGGCCTTGAACTTTCCATCCTAAACCTCCAGAGCTACTGGGATTATAGGCATGTGCAACGCTGCCCCACTAAGACAGATAAACTAGGTCTTTCCATACTGACCAAGCAACTGATCATTTCATCAATTTTTATCTTGATTTCTCTCTATATTTTACATGCAGCCTAAGAAAGAGTAAGAAATGGGTAAAAAACAGTGCTTTTGCCCATTTGCTACTGTTGGCAAGGAGAACACAATAGACCTACATTCTATATTATGATGCTACCAGATTCAGTTATGTCAGACTATGTCATTCTGTTTACTTTTCCTCATAAGTCAGAATGTTTTAGCACAGAAAATTCTCAGAATCTACTTGCTGATTTAGGTTAGCTATAAAAGGTATCAGAGGTAGAGGGTCCAAAAGTCCAGTTCTTTCTTATTTTGGAGGACCTGAGGTCCATGTGGCTAGTCGGTTGCAGAACATATTCAATTACAGTCTTTAAAACTTCCAATTCTCTTAGAAATGAGTCTAAAGAGAATATTATAGGAAGTGACTTTAAAGGGACCCTTATAAATGTGTAGATTTATGACTAAGTTTTCAAAGTGTGAAATGCATTATATCAGTTATAAGGCAGGAGGAACTCAGGTAAGGGCTAACTGAAGAAATAATACTCCTAGTTAAAATTCAAGTTATAAATTTTAATATCAAGTGCTCCACCTTTCCATACCCACATATTTAGGTTTCCATTGTTGACTTCTGTGTAAGTTGCATTCCTTCCTTTAGATGGTGTTCCTGAACAATTTCGCTTTGGTTTTAATTCTGCCGGTAAAAACCATGAGTGGATTTTGTTTGAAGCCTAAATTAAAAGATCTCCTTGCTATTTAAAGGAACTATGGTAAACATGTTACAACAGTACCTGCAAACAAAGCCATATTGATGTGGCAGGCTTGGAATTGTAAGATAATAAATTAGTATGATGAGCATGTATAAGCGTTGAACACATTTTACTTTTCTGTTAAACCCACGGCTTATGAAGGGGGAAAAAAAGGCAATTCATAAGATGCTAGCAATGATTACATTTAAGTATTCACTTCTATTTATAGTGGAAGAATTAGCATACTCAACTTTTACTTATTAACATCACATATCATTTTTGCAACACAAAGAAAATCTCCTTCCCTTACAAGCAGTACACACCAAAACAAAAACTTTATTCTCTTCAGATATCAATAACCTGAAAAACTCCAATTTCAAAAACCAACCTCTCTCATTCTTCAGCCCTGAAAGGAAGAACTTCCATCCCCTGAGAACAAAACGCAGACCGTCCAGAAACCCGCAGGGGCAGAAGACCGGGAGAAGAGAACCCCTGTGACCGGGTTCTGCGTTCTCCTGGGTGACATCATTACACCTGCGCCTCGGCAAAGAGGGAGGGAGCAAGAGAGCGGGGCCATCTGCCAGGCGGCAGAGGGCCGGCGCTCATGCTAGCTGCGCTCGCACGCCTCGCCGCCGCTGCGGGAACAAAGAAGCTGGGGCACTCGGGCCAAACCTCCTCACGGCTACCACCGGCCCGAGGCCCGTCCCGCCCTCGCGCGGGAACCAACGGCCATGGCTGCCAGTACCTGTGAGGGGAGGCTCCGCCCTGCGGGGCTGCTCCCGCGGCTTCTTGCTGGGCCGCCGCCTCCTATTGTGACCGCTCGCCCAGCCAGCGGCCAGCTCGCCAGCTCCGCCGTCCCCGGGCCTCCTCACCCCCGGAACCCGGGCTCCGACTGAGGCGCTGTCACGGCGCTTCCTTCCTCCGGGCACCATCACACGGGCCGCGCCAAGAAACGACGGCTGCACACAGAGAGCTGAGAGCCGTCTAACACCTTGGACGCCCCATTCTCTCCGCCCTGCGCCCCAACTGCCCGGGGCTTCGCCACTGCCGCACCGCTGCACGAGGGGGCCCCGCCCCACCGCACCCAGCCTCGGCCCTCGCGGACCCGGTCTCGCCGTGCGCCGGCGCACTGGCGCACTGTTTTCCGCTGCGTGCGCAGACGATGCCCCTCCTATTCCTGGATGCTGCCCCCCCCGCGCCCCGCCCCCTCTCCGACACAAACCTAGCAAGCCCAGTGCGCGAGACCGCCTGAGCGCTCCGCCCCTTTCCCCCTCAGTCCTACTCGCAGTGCCGAGTCCCCTTTGTTTCCACCCCGCGGGGGCGGGGCAGCGCTTGTCTCAGCGCGCTCAGAACCAGTTCCGGCAACAGAGCCTGACGCGCAGCGCCACTGCGCAGCCCCGCCCCAGCCCGTTGCGCGGGTGCTCTGGCAGCGCTGCCTAATTCGTTTTCTCCTAGGTATGTTGTTACTGGTGCTCGGTACCTACCCCTCCCAAATTCAGCAAACAATAATCTCATCGAATTCTCAAATACGTATTCTGTGGCCCAAGAGAATGAAAGTTTTTATTAATATAGACAAAATTGTCTCGCAAGGGAGCAAGCTGGTTGGAACCCAACTTGGACTAAAGCTTCACAGGTCTGATAGTTATTCAAACCTTGCTGCAGAGTGTGAAAATAAGGATGCAGACTGAAGTAGGCTTGGTTCCCGAAACTGTTCAAGATCCAAGAGAGAAGACTATTAATAAAAGCACAATAAATGATAAAAATTGTTAAATGGTATTGTAGTGGGGAGAGGAATTGGGGAGAGCATCATAGAAGACGGGAGCTTTCAAAAGTAGAAGTTAGAAGATTCCTACAAGGATGGTGAGGTTTTCTTTTTTTGGGGGACGGGGGTACTAGGAACTGAACCCAGGGGCACTTGTAAGCCGCTTGCCCAGTGGGGTTGTGTATGTTTTAGGATGTCGCTAAATTGTTGAGGCGGCTTTGAATTTGGCAATCCTCCTGCCTGTTAACCTCCCCAGGTGCTGGGATTATAAAGCAAGCGCCACCATGACCGGAAGATGGTTAACATATTTTAAAGGTGACTAGGTCCAGTCAGCAGAATACCAAAGTTCTAATTCTTTGGGCATTACTTAAACCTGTTTCCTTCCCTCTCTGGACCTCAGCTGCCTCAAAGTAAGAAATGAGGGAATCAAGCTAAACTGATGTTTCAGAACCCTCTAAACCTTGTACATTCTATTTATGAAGGAAATAACCGTGTACACTTGTCTTCCATATCACAATAAAGCACCAGATCTGAAACCAAACAGCAAGTGCATACTAATTCCAGGGCAAAGGAAAGCTGAAATGAGATAACAGGTCCCTATGAACATATATCCCCCTCATCGGATCCCTACACTCTTTTTAATGTAGAGTTATCTGCCAGTCTTTCAAAATAGCCAGCTTGGAGATAATATCCAAATAATTTTTTTTCACTCGATGGCTCAGTTAAAGTCTCAATCACATCTTTAGGTGCACCCAGTAAAATTCATTTCTAAGCGTTGGGTTCCTCAACAATTCCCACTTCATTGCTGTGGATTTGCCTCACATTACAGCTCTTCCATCAGAATCTCAGCTAAAACAGAAAGCTTTTCATGTATAATGCCGACCACCCTGAAACACCTTTTCCTTCATGCTTGGATATGGGCTATTTTATGGGAAAAGGGAGAAGAAAATTGGGAAATAGAAGGTAAATTACCAATTATAAAAAGTGGATTCCTCCTGTGCTAATCACAGCAGCCAAAACCTCTTAACAATTGTCTTTAGTTCCTCACTCATAAGCTTAAGTGAATTTTTCTGCCATTCAGTCAACCTTTTGTGAGGAAAACTCCTTGAAAACCTTTCAAACAGTTAAGATCTTAACTGAGCTCTGAGAGCTTAACCTGCAAAGTCTGTCAAGATGTAAATAATGCTGCCACAACTCCAGGTTGGATAGTTTGAAGTTTCTACTACAATTTTTTTAAAGATTCCTTAACCAAAAAATCTAGTGCTAGTACCCAGTGGGCAAATAGGCTTTTAAGGTAGGTCAATTTCAACAACTAAATGACAAGGATTAAATTATATCAGAGCAGCTCCTCAACAACTAACTGTTCAATCAAAATTTTACTTGCTGTCTGTCCACAAAGGTAGAAAATCCTGTTGGAGAGATATTTAGTAAAGTTTTCTACAATGATAGAAATGTTCTACATCTGCACTATCCTAAAGGTAGCTACTAGCTAGCTACATGTATCTACTGAGCACTTAGATTGTGGCTAGTACAACTAGTGAACTGATGAAAATCCGTTTAAGAGGAATATATGGTTAGGGGACAGCATAGCATTTGTAGGAAAAGTAGTTGCTGTAGCAAGAGCTTTTTGAGAATTTAAGACTGCCCTTTACAACTGGTTTTATTGCTTTTTACAACTGTGAATGCCTACTAAAAAAATGTTCGGCTGGAGATAGGGAAATATTTAAGCTTTTAAAACAAAAACAAACCAAAACCAAACCTGCTTACCAAATAGGAAAATATTTAAATGCCTTCAAATGAGTCTGGTAGTTAATGAGATTGTCGATCCTGGAGTCCTGCCATTCTTAATACACAAGAATAACAGCAGCCATCACAAAACTTAATTTAGGTATCTGCCACTACACTGAAATGCACATAATTTTAGAATTAATCACCAAGTGAAGTTTATGTAACAGTCCCCTGCTTATTTGTTACAAGTGTTTTATAAATAAAAACAAAATAAACTTAATAAGAAATAACATCTTAAAGATCACCAAAAGAATGTCAGCAATAACATTAAAAATATATATTACTACATCATTATTTCTAATTATGCAAGATATTTCACAATAAAGCAAGGTGGGAACTATTTAGAAACACATAATACTATGTACTAAATAAATTTCAAATAGTTTTATTTACTTTGTATCCTTTCTGAGCTAAGAAAACACAATAAATATCAGAATGGAGACCAACTTCCTAAAACTTAAAATAAGGCATATTTTAAAGGAACACACCAATGGATTTGGCCCTCCAAATCACTTTAGTTTCTTTAAATGAATAATTTCTTTGAATAAAATAAAAATCACTTAAAAATTAAAAGGCAAAATGGAAAAACTTTTGCAAATACGCAGATAATTAATGTCCCCCATAAAGTGATGACAAAAAGGAATATCCCCATAGAAGAGAAAATATGTGCAAAAAGACACAATTCAAAAGGAAAAAAAGCAATCTAAATGTCTTCAATTCTAAATCTCCACAAAGAGTGATTCTCCAGAGGGAGAACCATCATGTTTTTCTTGATCACTCCTAACAAAAGAAACACACCATTAATTTTTCCCACTTGAAAAATTGTTTGGGGTTTGTCTATTGTTGTTATCCTGTTTAAGAAATCCTCCAGAAGCTTGGAATGTAGCTCAATGATAGAGCAAATGCCTAGAATACCTGAATTGAGCACTACAAAAAAAGGAAGAAAAACAGAAAGACAAAGTCGGGGATGGATGTGGGTGGGGAAGGGGTGTAAGGAAAGGAAAAGAAACTTGCCAGACTGGGGATATAATTCAGTAATAGAATGCTTGCCTAGCATGTGCAGCAAGGGTTAGCTTCCCCCCACCCCAAGCAATACATACACACACACACACCAAAAAAAAAAGAAAAAGAAAAAAATAACAAAAAACCCTCCTCTACACTTAGATCATAAAGATATTTTCCCATATTATTTTCTTAGAGTTTTTATACATCCCTTTTCACATTTAGGTCTATACATGACCAGGAACTGGTTTTTGGTAAAGTGGTAACAAAGCTGGTTTTTGCTTTTGTTCCATGTGGACATCTGTTTGACACAGCATCACAAAATGGAAAAAAAAACAAAAAAAACTGTTGTTTCCAACTGCTCCTCGGCTAAAAAACCAAGTATTTATATACCCATGGGTTTGTTTCTGGGCTCAACAGTCTATTCTACTAATCAATTCATTCTTGTGCCAATACCACACTATCACAATTACTGTTGCTTTATAAGACCTCTTTTTATGAGTTAGCACAGGTTGTCTTTTTTATTACCCCCTAAAAAGTACCATGGCTTTTAAAAAAATTTCCACGGGAATTTTAGAATAAGAATTCAAAGGAAAGAACAGAATAGAGGAAAAAAACACAGGAAACTTGCTGAAGAGACAAATGAAGGGATACTGATATCTTCATAATACTGATATCTTCATAATACTTCTTATCTATGAGTCAGATGCATCCTTCCATTTAATCTTTAATTTTTTAAAATAATCTTTCACAGTATTCTGCAGTGGTGCTGCATATTTTAGTTCTTGGATTTGTTCTTTAAAAAAATACACAATTCAATTATAAATTACAATAGTTCATCTAAAAAACTTTTTGAATTTTTTAATTTACATTTATTTAGCAGAAAACAATGACTGTTGAATTTCTTTTCAACATTTTCATTTTCTGGTCTTACTGCACTGCTTAGGACCTCTAGTCCTAAGCTAAGGCAGTCCTAAGCTAAAGAGTCATGGTGAGAGCAGTTATCTTTTTTCTTATTCCAAATCTCAAGTGGAAACTTTCAATTTTTAAGTATTAGATTTGCAGTGGTTTTTTGTACACCCCTTTAGCAAATTCAGGGAGTTGGTTCAAATTTGGTAAGGTTTATTAAAAATTAGCATTTTTGTCAAAATTTTCTGCAATTGATAATTATGATTTTCTGTAAATGTATGATTTAGACTGGTTTTTGGCTGTTTGGGTTTGGCTTGTGAATATTTTGCTTAGAATTTTACATTGTATTCTTAATTGAGACTAGTGGTAATTTTCCATTTTTGAATGTCCTTGTCAAGTTTTATTACAAAGATTTTAGTTATGGGCTAGGGATGTGGCTCAAGCAGTAGCGTGCTCGCCTGGCATGCGTGTGGCCCAGGTTCGATCCTCAGCACCACATACAAACAAAGATGTTGTGTCCGCCAAAAACTAAAAAATAAATATAAAAATTCATTCTCTCTCTCTCTCTCTCAAAAAAGTTTTTAGTTATTCAGGGAGTATTCTCTCTCTCTTTCCTATTCTCTAGATGCACTGTTGTAAGATTGGTGTTATGACTCTTTTACATATTTGG